TGCAAAAAAGCAAAAACTAAGTAAAATCTACGAGAGAATATTTCTTTTTTTTTTAAGTTGAAGTAGTTTCTTTTTGCTTTCAGTGATATCAAGTAAAATAAAGAATGATGATATCGAGAATATAAAATATTAAAAGGATATTTGAAAATGAATAATTTTACTCAACTACAAAGAAATATCGATTAATCTGATTGTTGTTTGTTTTTTTGTTTATTCAATAAAGTATTTGTGTTGATTACTGTCTGCTTGACGGATTGCTTTGACTGAGCAATATTGTGAATTTTTGTGGCATGCCCTTTCTGTAATTCACATTGATGTTGCATTAATCCTGTTAGATTCTTTTCGATTTGTTCAAGTCGTTTATAATTGGCTGCTTTCTGATCCTCATTTGTATCGACATCTGCATGAAATCGATTGAGTTCTTCTTTCATTTCATTGAATCTTGTTTGTTTGCTGACAATTTCTGCATCTAAACATTCAACTTTTGTCTTTATCGTTATTAAATCCTTTTTCGCCGTTTCAATCGTTCTTTGTCCATTATCAAGTCGTAGGCGTTCAGCATTGATTTTGCCTTTGATTTCATTCGTTGCAACTGTGTTTTTGTCAACTTGTGCGATCTTTTGATTTGATCTTTCTTTTATGTGTTGTTCATTGATTGATAATCGTTCATTTCGTCTATGTAACATTTCAGCATTTTGACGTAGAGTTTCGACTTTGTTCTTTTGAGTTTCATATTTTCGACGTGTTTCACGATGTTCACCTTCCGTCTTGTTCAAATCATCTTTTGTTTGTTGAAGCTCTCCATTAAGAGTAACTTTTTCTGCTCTCAATCTTTCAGTCTCTACAGCAATATTCTTCAAATCGTCTTTCTTCATATTCAATTGGTCGTTCAAATCTTTCAGACTGTCCTTTTTAGTCTGGATTTCAATCTTCAAATCATCGACTGTTTTCAGTTCGGCTTGAAGTAATTCATTCTGATGAGTCTTTTCTCGATTTATGGCTTTTTCTCTATTATTCAAATCTCCTTGCAATCGTTTCAGATTTTCATGTTCACCTTCAAAGAAAAATTTACAATGACTACAAGATTTAGAATGTTAATTCAATCTTTTAGAAAAATTCATCAAATTATGTATCGCTATATTGTCTGTGGAAATTTTTAATAGAGAATATGTGAACGATGCAGTAGGAGAAAAGGGTGTGGGTGGGGTGTGGGTGTGCATGTGGGTGTGGGTGTGGGTGTGGGTGTGGGTGTGGGTGTGGGTGTGGGTG